CGGCATGGAGGAGGTGCGCGTGTCGGTGCTGACCCCGCTGAAGCTGGTCGGGCTGGTGTGCATCTTCCTGGCGCTGTGTCTGGACCTGGGCGCCGTGCTGAGCCCGGCCTGGGTCACGGCCGACCACCAGTACTACCTGTCCCTGTGGGAGTCCTGCCGGAAGCCCGCCAGCCTGGACATCTGGCACTGCGAGTCCACGCTCAGCAGCGGTGAGGGCCCCGCGCGCCGCGACCCCCGCCGCCCGCCCGGCGCAGCCCCGCGCCCTGTGCCGGGACGGCCGCCGCCGCCTCTCCCTGCGCTCCCGGTCCCCGCCCTGCTGCGGACCCCGCATCCCGGCCTCGGCCCTGCGGGTCTCCGAGCGGGCTCCTGGTCGCCCACCCCGGGGCGCCGGCCCCCGCCCTCCGCCTGCTCCCGTGGCCATTGCGCCCGCTCTGGAGTAACACGTATGCTACTTCGGGCGACTGTTGGCTTTGCAGGCCAGAGCCATGTGGTTGTGCAGAAGTGCTGCGCCTTCCACGCCGCGGGTGTCGGGCTTTTTAAAGTAAGATAGACCGGGCAGAACCGCCCCAACTCCACCAGGACGCGTGCGTCCCCTGCTCGGTCCTCCTCGCTCCGTTCCTCCTCTCTCCAGGAGGCGTTTGCCTGAGTTTACCCCTTAGAGCCCACGTTCCTGCCTGCTTTACTCCACCCCAGCTGGGCTTTCCCCAGTGAGTTCTGATTTGGGTTTTAGTTCCCTAAATGTTTGAGGGATTTGGCGAGTTGGGAGAGAGGCTTACTTTCCCTTGTGGTTATCTGTGATTTGCCCTTCATTCTCTCCAAACCTAACTGCCCTTTCCTCTCTCACCACACCTTTCACTTTTCCAAGAGCAGCTCCCAAATGCCTGGAACTTCATAGGTTATTCAGCCAGCAGGCTTACTCAAAAGCTAAAAGTGGACCCCCCCCACTGCCAGAAATCCCAGGACAGAATTGACTCCTGAAATAGATCTTAGAGTGGAAACAAAATGCTATCAAGGACATTATTGCTATGATTGTCCAGATTTAATAGGGATTAGATAATATTATCTAACTGGATGATGTATTAGTATTAAATGACTTGATTTTAATCATTGATAGTGGGTAAGGAAAATCTTTTCCTTTTTGTTTTCAGTACACTGAAAGGGCATGTATTGGGTAAAGGGTCATAACAGGCAATTTTCAGATGGTCAAAACATGTGTAGGGGGAGAGAAAAATGATAAAATGAATGTGACAAATTAGTAAATATGGGTAAAGGACTTTTCTGTATTTGTACTGTTCTTGCAAGCTTTCGGTAAGCTTTACATTATTTACATCTTTAAATTGGAAAATATTGTTCACAGATTTAAAGTACTTTTACCACCATACATTCAACTAGGTAGTTGTCTGTCTTTCCAAAGTGATTGATAAAGTCTGATGAAAAGTTACTAGCTTTGTGAAAACCATGGAGTACCTCATGTTTATTTTCCTTCAAAAATACAGTGTGAAGAACCAGATTTTGTCTGTATTTTCAATATATGAGATGTGTTGTATCTAAGCATTCTGTGATGCGTGGTATAGGTAGAGAGGGATTTAAGTAACAAGATGGCCCAAGTCCTTGGGCCCCTGCACCCGCATGGGAGACCTGGAAGAAGCTCCTGGCTCCTGGCTTCAGATCTTCACAGCTCTGACCATTGTGGCCATTTGGAGAGTGAACCAACAGAAGGAAGACCTTTCTCTCTGTTTCTCCCTCTCACTGTCTGTAACTCTGCCTCTCAAATAAATAAATAAAACCTTTAAAAAAAAGATAGCCAATTATGTTAAATCACACACATTCACCACAAAGTTATAAGAAGCATTATTAGGTTGAGACATAGACATGTTTGTTTGTCTTCCAGTATAAGGAACATTCTAAAAAGTATAGAAATTTGCATTATGAAACAACTGTGTGGATTTCAAAAACAATTTACAACAAAATAAGCCTATCTTTTCATACATTTCATTTCCTACGAACTTCTGGAAGGAATCGCACACATCTGACATCATGTGTTTAGCATCTAGTGTTATTTCCATTACCTACAGGACTGGATCTTTCTACAGTTGCTGCCTCTGGTATTGTAATTTCCAACTGTGAAGTTCTTAGAACTGACACCTCTGCCTTGTACTTTCCTGTCCTGAAGGAGTGGGGAAGCTTTTTTTCTGAGAAGGGCCACTTGGATATTTTATGAAATTATTCTCAGGCCATACAAAATTATCAACTTAAAAGTTAGCCTGCTATGGATTTATTGGGTTTCAAGTCCTGCCTGTGAAAGCTTCAGCAGGGCCAGACCTAATGATTTTGAGGGCCTTAATCAGCTTGCTAGCCTGACGTTCTCCATCCCTGTAGGAAAAGAGCTGAAAAGAAGGATTTTCATGGAGCAGGAGGGAAGTCTAGCTGTGCCTTCTATATGAAAAGCAAAACATTTAAAACAGCATTAGCCTCCACTCTTTCACTCTGATCAGGCATGATAAGGTAATGGACATAGCCTTGTGCAATATAAATACTTCATCTTTGCCAGAATGAGAAATTTTAGCTCAGCAGAGTCCTAGGGCAGCAGGGCTGTCCCAAGACAGACCAGCACACATGAAATGAACCTACCTCTCCTACCCACAGAATATAATTAGCCAGATACCGCTCTCACAGTTCATCATAAAAGTAATTTTAATTGATAGCAATATTCAAACTTAGGGAATGATGATTTCAAATATATATCAAAAAAGTAAGCAAATCTGTGACAGTTTAATTTTTCTAAAATAATTACAGTTTTACTTTATTTTCAAAAGCATCTATGGGTTCCTTGATTGTGCAGACTTCACACTCACACTCAGTGTTGCCCTGTCTTATTTCTTCAGAAAGTCCGGAGCTCTTGGGTAGTGTTTTAACACGGTGTGGCTCTTTTCTGTGGTGAGGAAAACTGAGAGATGAGTGTAATCCTCAAAGTGTAATAAAAAAACTCATGTGAGAAATTAATATACAAGATGAAAACTAGTAGGTACTCTTTAGAAAACATAGCCAAATTCAGTCAGCAGTGAAGTAGCACTTAGCTCCAAACTCCTGCATCTTCTATCTTCCTCATCACTTGAGTATGCCTTTTCAATAACAGATGCCTTGGGCAGGGACATGGAGATAATTAACTATGTCATATTCAGATTTAGCACCTTCATGTAAACCATCAGTGTTTGCATATAGCCATAATGATTGCACTAGTTATAGTCATGTCTGTAAGTGGCTACCTGAAGGCATTCTACTGTGGGGCAGCACAGTCTCTAGAATGTCAGCTTTTGTCCTTCTACCTAAGAATAAATAAAATGTCAATTGATCTAATAGTTTAATACAAACTTAGGACACTTACTTACATGAAAAGAAGAGGTGACAAAAGAAGAGTGAGTAGTTAAGGAAAAGTT